TGCCCTATGCCCAGGTTTGCCATGAGTTTGTGGTTGGTGTGTTGCTGCTTTTTCAGAACTAGAAGGTATTCTAAGCCCTGCCTGGGGCTGGGACAGTTCCAGATACTCTGTCCACGGTCACCAGCAAGGGGTTATGTGCTGTGGGGCACTGCCTGGATTGGGGCCTTATTGTGGCAGGCCTTGTTCCAAGACAATGTCTCCTGTCTACTTCCTTCTCCTTCCCCAAAGCTTACAATGCCTCTCTCGGTGCTGTGCTGCCTGGGGTTTGGGGAAGGGATGGAGAAGGCAGTTCTGTGGCCACTACAGTTGCCATAATGCTGGCTCAGGCCAGAAGTCCAAAGCTGCTGTGACCAGCACAGCACAGGAGTACACCTAACACTCACACTAACCTGGCTTGCCTGTCACTGAGGCTCAAGGCTGTGGGAGACAGCGGGCCGTGATGGAGGCTAGAACATAAGACTGCCTCACCAGAGCCACAGGTGTCCACCTGGTGCTGATGCAGGTCCAGTGACTCTGTCAGACCTTGTTTGGTTCTTCCTGGAGCTCGGTTTCACCCTGGGAGACCCAGCACTGCGTTTCAAGGCAAAATTCTGCCCTTACTTCCCTCTTCTTCCTCCCAATACATGGAGTCACTCTCTGTGTTGCACACCTGGTGTTGGGGGAGGTAAGGTGAGGGCAGTCTTTTGGCACCAAGGCTGATGTTCAGGTGGGTCATACCTGAAGCCCACAACTTCTGGGACCACTGCAGCCAAGGACATGCCACAGCCCATGCTACTGTGGCCTGCTGGCCTGCTGAGCTTCACTCATGGCCTGAGGCCACTGTAATGGCCAGCAGTAGTGCAGGCCAGTGCATGAGACCATCTGCTGTGGCCACAAGTTTCAATCTAGCACTGGGACAAGTCCAGAGTCTCCACCTGCAGGTCCTGGCCTGGGGTCAGGAGCCATGGATATCTGCCTGGTATTGGGTTTTACTGTGGCAGGCCACATCAAAATCCTGCACTCACTTTCCTCTTTCTTGCCCAGTGGGCATCGTCTGTCTCTGTGCTGCGCTGCTTGGAGTTGGGGAAGGGATGAAGTGGGCAGTGTGACTGTGTTCTTCCACTGAGCTTTCAATGTATCTTCTGATTTTTATGCTAAAACCAGGTACTGTGCCAAGTACTATGATCGCACATCTGGTTTCCTTGGCTCTTGTGAAGGTATAATACTTTCAAGTGTGGAGAATTGTTCAAATTGGTGTTTCTATGGGGAGATGATCAATGAAGGGTCCTATCTGGCCATCTTGCTCTGTCCCTCCTCAATTCTCCTTCATCTTAAAAATACCTATCCCTAAACTCTGACCCCTCTTACTAAAACTTATCTTATCCATACCCTCATATTCAAACTCCTGGAAGAATTTGGTTATAGCTATGTACACATTTCCTAATGCATCTTTTATTTCTCAACCCATTGAAAAATATCTTCCATTCTAGTGACACTGTTTTGAAGGCCATAGATGACTTCCATATTATTAAATCCAATGAATGCTTTCCAGGCCTAATTTTACTTGATACTCTTAGGGATATCTTCTATTAGGGTACATTCAATTCCCGCATCAGTGTGGTGATAATCTCCTAGTTTTCCATCTCTCTCTGGGTATTTATTCTCCATATTCTTTATCCTGTAGAACTTTGGTAGCATTTATTGAATTATAGGTTTGCTAAAGATAAAGTTTTAGCTTCTGTCTGTCTAGAAATGTCCTTCTATTACATTATTTTTCTGTTCTGGTAATGTCTTTTTCAGGTTTTGGGGTTAGAATTATGCTGGCTTTAATAATATCTTTTGAGAAGTGTTTTTCTTCTCTGTATTTTCTGAAAGAGTCAAATTCAATACTCTGAATTCTCAGTTTAGTTATTTTGACTTTAGGTGAGTTATTTGGAGTTTGTCCACACTTGTCTAATTCAAGAGCTATCCAGAGATTTGAAAGTGATCTTATAAAGAATTTAGGGCTTCCCTTCTCTGGCTCTCTCTTTATCCCCTTTCTCTTCAGCTTCTGTGTGGGTGAGGTACCTGAATGTTTTTTGATTCTTCAAGCCAGCGAGACTGATGGTTTGTAGACAAATTTTAGTCACCCAGTATCTTGCCTGCCTTTAAGATAAAGCCATGAAAATGAAAATTCACCCAGTACCATTTCTTTTTTTGAGTGTCTTCTATGATCCAGTACCTTCATGTTTTTGGTAATCCTCCAGTGTATATATATTTATATATGAGAATTCTTCCAATGGGAGCTTCTTAGCAATTGCCCTATCGATATGTCTCTAAGTTCATGAACCTTTCTTTTATAGTCTCCAATGCTATTATTCCCGTCCAGTAACTTTTCATTTCTGCCCTTTTCAATTCTAGAATTTCTATGTTTATAGTTTTCATTTCTCTGCTGATATTTCCCATCTATTTCCTTATTATTATTCCTCTATCATACTTGGGATATAGTCATGGTATCTTCTTTACTATGGATATTTTCCATATATTCCCTTATAATTGTTCCTTTAAATACTTGGATATATTCATAATATCTACTTTGAAGTTCTTACGCGATAATCCTATGATCTAGGATTTCATGGATATGTTTCTATTGATTGACCTTTTCCCCTTAATTTTGGGTGACATTTATTTCTTTTACATGTCTAATAATTTTTTATTGTATGCTGAACATTTTGAATGATGCCTTGTGGGGAGTCTGGATCATGCTGTCTTCCTTTAGAAGGCATTGACTTTTAGTTTAGCAGGTAGTTATATTACTGACAGATGTTTTTCATTTTGTTAGACTTAGTATAATTCTTTGTCATTGTGGATTAATTTCAATTTTAAATGTGGTCTTTGGGGAGTTCCTTAGTCCAACAGTTTGTAATTTTGGGGGTAAGCACAGAATATCTGAGGTTACAAGAAAGTTCACTCTGTCCTGGCTGGGTTGGAACGTCAGCTCTACCTGTTCCTTACAACATCTGGTATTTATCTTCAGTTCTCAACCCTCCAGCTGTCTTCCTCCAATAGGCTTCATGGAGTTTCCTACTGCACATGTGCCACCCAACCCACAGCCATGGACTTACAGAGAAGAGTCCTGTACACTTTTGAGATCATCAGTATTTGTGGATTCCTACTGTCCTGTACCCTAGAATTTGTCTTTACAAAATAAATTCTTCTGGCTTTGTCTTTACAAATTCTAGGTGCCAAATTTTGATCTCTGTTTTCTCAGCTTGAAAATAACACCACTTTGCTTGTCCCTCACTATCCTGCATAATGGGGGGGAAGTGTTCTCAGTCAGAAATCCAGGGTGATTATGGGGCCTAATTTCTCTTTAGTAAAGTGTCACAATCCTGGATTGCCTCTTGTGCAATGACAAAAAATTCCTACCTTACATATATTTTTCAGATTTCTATTTGCTTAATTGTGAGGGCAACTCCAAAGCAGTTGCTATGTCATAGCCAGAGGCAGGTGGCCCCACCAGCCAGAAGAAGGGTTTTGCCACAACTTAACTTTATCTGGAAGCCCATTTTGGGGCTGAACATACAAGTTTCCTGCACTTCATGCTAAGGGTGTGTTCTAAGTTCACCCAGGCAGGAAAAGAATCACGGGAATAGCTGTGTTACTAGGAAGAAGGTCAGGAGGGACTGATACTTCTTTTTCTCTTTTATTTGTCCACATGGATATGAGAGTTTATTAATTTGACCTATGGATTTTGTGAAATGAAAACTACATCCTGGCCGGGCGCGGTGGCTCATGCCTGTAATCCTAGCTCTCTGGGAGGCCGAGGCAGGCGGATTGCTCGAGGTCAGGAGTTCGAAACCAGCCTGAGCAAGAGCGAGACCCCGTCTCCACTATAAATAGAAAGAAATTAATTGGCCAACTAATATATACAAAAAATTAGCCGGGCATAGTGGCGAATGCCTGTAGTCCCAGCTCCTTGGGAGGCTGAGGCAGGAGGATTGCTTGAGCCAGGAGTTTGAGGTTGCTGTGAGCTAGGCTGACGCCACGGCACTCACTCTAGCCTGGGCAACAAAGCGAGACCTAAACAAAAAAAAAAACTACATCCTGTTTGGAGAGGCCATGCAGTATACCAGAACACATTTAGACACATATGGATTTAAAATTTATCTCTTACCTAGTAAAAGTAGGGGCTTTGTTAAGATCCCAAACTATTGTGAATGCAATCATTATCATCATAACAGTAATGAAACTTCTTTCTATTGAGCATTTTAACATGTGGTAATCTTTGCATAAAAAAGTTTTTTCATGTATTGTCTCATCTTACATTTATAAAATTTATGCAAATATGTTGCTTACATTTTACTAGTGATGAAAATGAGGCATTGAAATTTTAAACAACCTAACTATGGTCACAGAGCTTAATTTGGTGGAGAGAAAGATTTGACTGATTCTGAAAACTAAACTGTAACTCACTATTATTTCTGAGTTTCAGAAAAACCTACTAGAAATTGAAAATGCTCTCTACTTTCCACAAGAATGTGTGAAAATTCAGTTGAAGGAACACAGCAGAAGGAGGAGATACTTATCAGTTTCTCGTCTTGATGAGAAATTGAAGTTTTTCGGAATAAGACCACTCAACTACTGAGTTCTGAGGAAGGCAAAATCCTTGGTTCTAAAGGGAATGAGATGAATTTTCAGTGGTATCAGCACTGTTAAAACAATTCTGCAATTTCTTCACTAAGAGCAATGTGCTACAGGGAGCTTCCTTGTTTTTCTGCAAAGTACGGGCTGGTGTCAGACTACACACTGGTGACTATGGCCTTGCAAAGAACAGTGCCCTGGACTGGGCATTATATGATGTAATACCTGTTGACCTTGGTCAATAATTTGTTCTGTGATATGGAGCAAATAAATTCTCCTGTTTTGTGCCTCAGTCTCCTTTTATAAAACAAAAGGATTAGATAAGGGATTTCTAATATTTTTTTTCAAGCTCCATGACCTTCTTTATAATCTGGTTTATCCGTTTCTCTTTCTATCAGGGCACAACCGTATTAATACACCTGTCTTCTGTGCTGTATGATGACAAAGAGTTTCCTAGCCCAGAGAAGTTTGATCCTGGCCACTTTCTGGATGCAAGTGGCAACTTTAAGAAGAGTGACTACTTCATGCCTTTTTCAGCAGGCAAGCAAGCTTTCTTTTTATTTGTTCATCAGGGGTTAAGTGAGATGAGGAAGGGCTTTTGTGTGGATTGTATTTTGGGATGGACAAATTGTCATTTGTAGGAGGCCAGAGGGACCGCTCCCAAAGTCCTGGGTGTTTCTCATTGGATTGGCAGCTGTACTCACTGATTCTGCTTCCTGACCCCCACTGAGGTCCTCAAGAGTTCCTCCTAGAGGTCCAGTTCTAGAAAGGCTTTTCTCATTTACACCGAGAGGCCAGTTCACTCAATAAATTTCACTGAGCACCTTACATGTAGCGATCCCATGCTCAGATCCAGGGATCCAAGTGTGAACAAGAAACAGATCTCCCCTCTAAGAGAGAGGAAAACAAGTTTCCAGGCAATGAGACTCCAGCGTGACAAATGCTGTGCTCGGGGCTTCTGTGTGAGCCCAGAGAGAGGAGCTCCTGACTCCGGTCTTTATTCAGGGGGCATGGCCAGAGAAGTTGGAGGGTAGGGGAAATTTTCTTTCAGGAAGTAACATTTGAGTATGTTTCCTTGATTTGTTAAGGATCCTGGAAAGAAACAGGTGGGCACATTCAAAAAGTTTAATTAAAGTGAGTTTAATGAAGAGACTGTTTTCAGAGGTGTGGGCAGGGTAAGAGAAGAAACAAAGCATTGTAAAATACTCAGGACTAACATCAGCAGGGAGATGTTATCATGCTTGGCCAGAAGGGACAAGGGGAGGAGGGTGTTACTGGAAGTTGAACAAACCTTTAGCCAGAAGGGAGTGGATGAAGGAGAATTATCTATGTAGGTAGGAACACAGCCACTGCCAAACTATGGCCTGGCAAGGCGGGATTGAGGAAATAGACACTCTGACTTTCTCAATGTCTGATCTTCTGAATTTACTCAGAACCCAGAAGGGAACTAACTTCTGGGTTAATGCAGTCCATAGAAGTCAGTTTCCTGGAAACAGTTAAGCACAAACGCAAGCAAATACAGAATGGATCTGGAAAGAGGAAGAAATGGAGAATTTTCAGCACATTCCAAGGAAAAAGCAAAACGAAGATTAGAGGTGAAAGGACCTTTTCCACAGAAGTAACTGAAACAGAGACAGAAATAAGGGATTTGCTCCTGATTATTTAAGAAAAGAAATATTGAGCAACCCTTGATATTGTGATCCCAAGGTTTTGTACCATGCCCAGGGATAATCTCAACAGGAGCCACTGCTCCTTGTCTTCCTTCCTGTATTTTGGAGTCCCCTATTGCATAATGATCATGACTAAAATTTCTAATCATTTCCCATGGTTTGCAGGCCTGCCTTTTGTCTTGACACTGTGGGTATTACAAGATCTAAGTGCTTACCTTAAGACTTTATATTCCAGTCTGTGAGATAGATGAATAATTTACATTTCATGTGAAATGTACTGTAGTAGAAGCATAACTGAATGTGTGGAAAACAGATAAGAGTGTGAATTGTATGCCCTGAGCACCTCAAAGAAGTTTGCATAGAATAAATGAAGTCTGAACCAAATCTGGAAGGATATATAAGCTATTGGCAGGCAGAGCAGAGGGGAAGATTATTCCAGATAGAAGAAGACTTGGAGTCTGAGATAAAACTTGAAATTCCCAATTTGTTTGGGGAGTGGTATAGGTAGTGATGGCTGGGTTGTGGGGAACTGGATGGAAGGAATGGAAAGAAATGAGGCTCTGAGAATTGTTTGTGGCCAGTTTGTGACATTTCTTTTTCATACCTGGTAATGTTAAGCTCTTGAAAAATTTTAAAGCAGGTATGTGAAAAGATTAAGATTATTGTTTAGAATACAGACAAGGAGAAATAAATCTATTATTGAGTACTAGGTGAGACATAGATGGAAAAGTAGATACAGTGTTGTGTATTGTTCCAGTTGGGATAGGCGTGCGCGTATGTGTGTAGAGAGGTCAATGGCAAGCCTCAGTATAGCAGTTCTAGCACATACAAAAAAGATTTTTTCATATAGTATGCACATAGAAATATGTGCTGAGGAAATGAAGGAAATCAAGCTTGGGTATAAATTGAAGAAGCCATAGGTTAATTAGTCATTCATTAATATGTTTCTTAATCCCATATTTATTTAAGCCTCCCTGTGTGCTAACTCTGAAATAGAATTAAATGAAAAATTAACTTATATGTCATTTTTAGGAAAAAGAGTTTGTGTTGGAGAGAGCCTGGCCCGCATGGAGCTGTTTTTAATCCTGACCGGCATTTTGCAGAATTTTACCTTGAAACCTCTGGTTGATCCGAAAGACATTGATACCACCCCAATTGACAATGGGTTAGGCTCTGTACCACCCTTCTATGAGCTCTGTTTCATTCCAGTCTGAAGAAAGGGCAGCCTGTCGAACTTCAGAGCAAGACCCTCCAGCCTCATCTGAACAAACCAGAGGCTGTCTGGCCTGTGTGCCAGCTATTATCCATCTCTATCTTAATAGCAGGAATGTCATCTCTGAGCCCTGTCTCTTCTAATTTCCCCCACCCTTCAAATTTCCTAAAATTCACTACTCCTCAAATTTTCCTGCATAAAATAAATATTACCATTTCATCTCCAATAAGACTCTTTTTTTGTAATACAACCCGGAGATCATAAGCTACATCTATTTGCAGTGTATACCAAATGGAAAGCAGACTATAAATGTAAGGGTATAAGGTTAGGGTGTGAGCTAGTGCATGCAGTCTTTTTTTTTTTTTTTTGAGACAGAGTCTCACTTTGTTACCCAGGCTAAAGTGATAGCATCAGCCTAGCTCACAGCAACCTCCAACTCCTGGGCTCCAGCAATCCTCCTGCCTCAGCCACCTGAGTAGCTGGGACTACAGGAATGTGCCACCATGCCCAGCTAATATTTTTATATATTTTTAGCTGTCCAAGTAATTTTTTTCTAATTTTAGTAGAGATGGGGTCTCGCTCTTGCTCAGGCTGGTCTCCAACTCCTGAGCTCAAATGATCCAACCGCCTCGCCTCCCAGAGTGCCAGGATTACAGGCGTGAGCCACTGCACCCAGCCTGCATGTGGGTTTTGAGAAAGATTTCTCCAGATAAAAATTAGGATAGAAATAAGAGATTTATTTACCTTTCCCAGCTGGAAAATGGCCAACACAGTAGTGAAGGAAGTAGAGAATGTTGGCAGAGAGAACCAGGTATTTGGCCTTTTTATTTAGGGGGAGGTTGTAAATTAGCAGGGTGCAGCCGAGAAACTGCTGTATCTGCTCCTTTCTTTCTTTCTGGTGGTGAGCTGATAACAGAAATGGCAAGATGTCAAAATCCGAGAGTTGCCTACCACCTTTCTCTGTAGATGGGATTATCGCATGGGGATGTGACTCTGCCCTTGAGATATGGCTGAAGTCTGATGGTTGTAGCCTGCAATTCATTCAGGAACTCCAAGGCTGTAAAACAAATTCTAAGAAAAGCAGTTTCTGGTGAATGTAAAGAGAAAACATTTCCTTTCTGTTTGTTAGGCTGTTTTCAGATGTTGTGAAAATGGAACCCTGCAGGGTGCCTGTGAGCTAATTAGCTAAGAAGAATGAGAGAGAGAGAGAGAGAGAGAGAGAGAGAGAGAGAGAGAGAGAGAGAATATGCCAGCATGTGCAGGGGGAGACCTCATTTTCTGTTTTTTTTCCTGATAGCAAGACCAACCTTTCATAAGTGTCATATTTTGCTTTACTACAAATTGAAAATCAGAAATTGTGCTATGAGATTAAAATTTTTTTTAAATAAAATAAGTAAAATTTACTCATCTCTCATTCCTATTTAACTCTCGCGGGGAATGGTCTCTTGAAAGTTTGGCATGTATATTTTCTGCCTTTTCTCAATGGATATTAAAATATAATTATGTGTGCATATGTATATGTGTGTGATGCATATATTTATGTATGTATGTATATGCATATACATGCAGGGGGAAGACAAAGGAAGATCATTCCAGCCAGAGGGAATAACATGAAATAAAATTTGAATTAACCAGTCCCTCTAAGGATGTTCTTCTTTTCCATCTCAGTGGTTAAATGCACATAAACGGACAGACACACACACACACACACACGCACACACACACACACACACACACACACTAAGGCAAAGAAGAGGGAAATATGTATATATGGTTATATTTGAACACATGCAAACAGAAATATACAAGGAAACTTCACTGCTGGGCATGGTGGCTCATGCCTGCAATCCCAGCACGTTTGGAGGCCAAGGCAGGAGGATCATTTGAGGCCAGGAGTTCAAGACCAATCTGGGCAACATAGCAAGACCTAATCTCTGCAAAAAATTAAAAAAAAAAAACTAGCTAGGTGTGGCGGTGCACAACCGTTGTCCCAGCTACTTGGGAGGCTGAGACAGGAGGATTGCTTGAGTCCAGGAGTTGGAGGTTGCAGTGAGCTATGATGCTGCTGCTGCATTCCATCCTGGGCAACAGAGTAAGACCATGTCTCAAAAAAATATTTATGAATTCATGAATTCTTTGCCTAGACTGATGTCTAGAAGAGTTATTCCTACATTTTCTTCTAGAATTCTTATGGTTTCATGCCTTACATTTAAGTCTTTTATCTATCTTGAATTAATTTTTGTGAGTAGTGAGAGATAGTGGTCCTGTTTTATACTTCTGCATGTGGCTATCCAATTTTCCCAGCACCATTTATTGAATAGAGCTTCTTTTCTCCAGTGTGCATTGTTGTCTGCTTTGTCAAAGATCAGTTGGCTTTAGGTAGATGGTTTTGTATCTGGGGTCTCTATTCTGTTCCAGTTCTCTATGTCTGTTTTTGTACCTGTACAAAGCTGTTTTGGTTACTATAGCCTTGTAGTACAGTTTGAAGTCTGGTAATGTGATGGCTCTAGTTTTGTTCTTTTTACTTAAGATTGCTTTGGCTATTCAGACTCTTCTGGTTTCAAATGAAGCATAGAATTCTTTTTTCTAGATCTGTGAAATATGACATTGACATTTTGATGGGGATTGCATTGAATCTGTAAATCACTTTGAGTAGTATGGACATTTTAACAATGTTGATTCTACTGATCCAGCAGCAAGAATTTTTTCCATTTGTTTGTGTCATCTGTAATTTCTTTCCTCCGTTTCTTGTAGTTCTCCTTGTTGAGATCTTTCACCTCCTTAATTAAGTATATATACCACATTTAAAAAGTTCTTTCCTCCCTTGATGGACACTTAGGTTGTTTGTATATCATGGCTATAGTAAATAATACTACAGTAAACATGGGAGTGCAGATATCTATTCAACATAATGATTTCAATTCTTTTAGTACATACTCAGAGGTGGAAATGCTGGATCATATGGTCATTCTGTTTTTAGTTTTTTTGAGGGGTTGTTACACTGTTTTCCAAAATGTGTCTACTAATCTATAATACCATCAACAGTGTACAAGTTTCTCCTCTTCTCCACATCCTCACCAATACTTATCTTTCACCATTTTTTTTTTTTGAGACAGAGTCTCGCTTTGTTGCCTAGGCTAGAGTGAGTGCCATGGCGTCAGCCTCGCTCACAGCAACCTCAATCTCCTGGGCTCAAGTGATCCTCCTGCCTCAGCCTCCCAAGTAGCTGGGACTACAGGCATGCGCCACCATGCCCGGCTAATTTTTTCTCTATATATTAGTTGGCCAATTAGTTTCTTTCTATTTATAGTAGAGACGGGGTCTCGCTCTTGCTCAGGCTGGTTTCGAACTCCCGACCTCAAGCAATCCGCTCGCCTCGGCCTCCCAGAGAGCTAGGATTACAGGTGTGAGCCACCGCGCCCGGCCCTCTTTCACCATTTTGATAATAAGAATCTAGCAGGTGTGAGGTGATAGCTTATTGTGGTTTTAATTTGTGTTTCTCTGATTGGAGATGTTGAGCATGTTTTTATGTGTCTGTTGGCAATCTGTATGTCTTCTTTTGAGAAATGCCTATTCAAGTCATTTGCAGTTTTTTAAAAATAAAGTTATTTATTTTCTTGTTATTGGGTAGTTTGATTTTCTCATATAGTTTGGATATTAGCCCCTTACCCAAAGTAGGATTTGCAAATATTTTCTCCCAATCTGTGGTTTGTCTCTTAACTCTATTTTTTTTTCTTTTTACTTTTTTTTTAATTTCAGCATATTATGGGGGTACAGATTTTAAGGTTTCAATAAATGCCCATTTCCCCCCTCCCCCCACAAGTCTGAGTCTCCAGCATGACCATCCCCCAGATGGTGCACATCTCACTCATTATGTATGTATATACCCGCCCCCCTCCCCCCTCCCACGTGCCCAATACCCTATTACTGTAGTACCTATGTGTCCACTTAGGTGCTACTCAGTTAATACCAGTTTGCTGGTGAGTATATGTGGTGCTTGTTTTTCCATTCTTGGTAAACATCACTTAGTAGTATGGGTTCCAGGAAAATATAACATGTGCTATATCACTGTTGTTTCTTAGAGCTGAATAGTACTCCATGGTATACATATACCACATTTTATTGATCCATTCTTCTATTGATGGGCACTTGGGCTGTTTCCATAGCCTTGCAATTATGAATTGTGCTGCTATAAACATTCGAGTGCAGGTGTCTTTTTTGTAGAGTGTCATTAACTCTATTAATTGTTTCATTTGTTGTTCAGAGCTTTTTTATTTGATAAAATCTCATTTGTTTATTTTTTATTTAATTGCTTGTGCCTTTGTGGTCATATCCAAAAAATCACTGCCCAGACCAATGTTATGGAGATTTCCTCCTATCTTTTCTTCTAGTAGTTTTATATTTTCTAGTCTGTGTTTAATTCTTTAATCCATTTTGAGTTGCTTCTTATGTAAGGGATGAGATAAGGGCTCATTTTTATTCTTCTACATGTGGATACCCAGTTTTCTCAACACCATTTATTGAAGAGACAGTTTTTCCCCATTGTGCATTCTTGCTACCTTTGTCAAAAGTCAATTGACTGTATCTATGTGGGTTTATTTCTTGACATTTTATCCTATATCATTGGTCAATAGAAAACTATAAAGGCTTTATCAAAAAACTGTTAGAACCAATAAAATTAGAAAAATCAGCAGTGTTTCTATATATTAACAATGTGCTATTTGAAAAAGAAATTAAGTAAACAACACCAATTATAATAGCATAAAAGTACCTATGAGTTTCTTACTCTTTATTCAGAAAATCACAAAAGGGACAAAAATACTTAGGAGTAAATTTTTAAAAATTATTAAGAATATTACAAGGGTACAAATATTTTGGTTATAACGGTTGCTTATGTACTGCTTGAGAAAAAGTTCTAAGTGTGTACATCATCCAGATAGTGCACACTGTACCCATTAGGTATGATTTCACCATCCCCATTCCCAACCCTCTCCCACATACTTGATGTATGTTGAGTTTTACTTCCATCTGTGCACATGAGTGCTGTTTGGTTAGTTCCAGTTTTATAGCGAGTATATGTGGTGTTTGTTTTTCCATTCTTATGATACTTCACTAAGGAGTACAATCTCCAGTTCCATTTAGATTGTTACAAAAGGAATTAATTCATTCTTTTTTATGGCTGAGTAGTACTCCAGAGCATACATATACAACATTTTGTTAACCACT